TTCCATCACTTCAACTTATTTTTCGCACTATTCCATCGCTCTATTCAATATTGGAGTCCGTTCTCACAATTGCCTTTTTTTTTTTTTTACATTTTTGTATGACAACCGCCACGTTTACACTTCTTACTTTTTATCTAAATAACAACAACCTGATAAACGCAATAATATCTGAGTTAATGGCCTCTTGTTAAAAGTCTACCAAAGGGAGCTAACTGATACAATTGGCCGAATATCTCCATGTAGGGATTCTTATGAGTTTCGATATTTTGTAGAATTATTATCATTAAAAAAATTAAATGGAAATATTTAAGTGAAATAGTAAAGTATAAATGAAAAATTCCTAAATTACCTGATACTTAAAAATGCAACTCTATTTTGTTTTAAATAGTTATATGTTTAATATTCCCGTATATCATCTGGAAGCCATCTTTAAAATAAAGATATAAATGATATTAGCTATGTATCTTCACTGTGTCATTGCTTCTGAGTGCGTGTAAAATTCATATTGATTTGTGCTGTTATACAGTTCTGAGATCTATGTGTACCCCGCTTCTGATCTTTTCATTATGATTCAAATCTAGACGCGTAGGTGGACTGTAAACGATGTATGTGCATGCAGAGTTTNTATAAATGATATTAGCTATGTATCTTCACTGTGTCATTGCTTCTGAATGCGTGTAAAATTCATATTGATTTGTGTTGTTATACAGTTCTGAGATCTATGTGTACCCCGCTTCTGATCTTTTCATTATGGTTTTTTCTGCTTTTTTGTTTCATTTTTGTTCTGAAAAAGGTGAATTTTTATTACAGTATATAACAAATTACTCATAATAAATCGCCACCCTGTACCCTAGATTCTTGATACACAATACAATATGATTTATTATAGTAGACAGAAACAGGTAAATTTAATATTTTTAAACAGAACGAATATCTAATAACTTTTTCAAACCACACAATAAATACAAATTAAAGGGTTCATTTGAGGATTTATTTACATAACAGCTACCGTGTACGCGCATGTTTTAAATCGCAATGTATATATTCTTAAAAACAAAACGGTTACTGTAATCCATAAAAATGCTATTTCAGCCTACATTTTTTGCAATTGTGTTTAGAAACAAATTCAATTTTCAAAATTGAATTTATTTTTCATAAAACTGACGATATTTGATAATATATGTAAGGTGGCTACAAAGAGTTGATGTTTCCCACACTTGATATTTCTAGACAAGAATACAATTACTGTAATTATGTACCTCTCAAGCTATATTTTCATATAAAGCCCCATGAATCTTTTGAGAGCTTTCTTTATCCCTCTTTATCCTAAGTATATATTGACACGCTAGCCAGGACGCTATCGCAGAGTCCATCTTAGTATCACGGCCTTGTTTTGTATACACATGTATACACACCTATTTGTCTTAACCAGATACTGCCTGGCATTAAATGATAACTCGCTTACTACTCGCCAATTGCTCCCTTCCCATAGCAACAGTATCAACGCAGATCGCACGCGTCTCATCGTCACAGACAATCTCGGGTCCATTGTGAAGAATGCATATTTTTTTCTTGTTAGATATGCCATGTCATGTTATTCTTGTTACACTGACCATTGTGAGTTAGAAATAATATATATATATATATATTCTACTGGATACTAGTACATTTTTTTAATATGTAAAATTAATATTGCTCTATTAATATGCGCCACAGGGTATTGCGAACCAGAAATTGGTAATTTAGTCACACAGGCTTTTGTGAACTAGAATACCTCTTTTCTCTTCTAAAATAACCCACCATATAAGCCATATATTTATTGCATTGGTCACTACAAAGATCGTTGTGGAGACGGAAAATATAGTTATTACTTAGCCCACACAGCATTCTACACGATTTTACATAAAAATGTGAAAACTGAAAAGTTTTTATTAAACACAATCATCAGAAATCTTATTCGAACAATCTGAATTTTGGAAGAAAAAAGATACATAATACATATCATCAACATTATATATGTCATTGTTCAATACATGTTTTTATGTCAATGACTGGTGACACTGAAATAAACTGTTATTGATTGATCGAATGGTATACGTTTCAGACTGCAAGCGTTTTTGGCTGAGTTAATACAGCATACTAATAACCCCATTCACAGTCTTGTGGTTTATCAAGCTCGCTGTTTTACTCGTCACCCTTACATTACATTTGTATTGGCCTCTTTTTCAAAGTGAATCGTTCAAGTGTTAATATCGTGTTAAAATTAATTGACTGTAAAACCCTCTACACAATGAAGTTGAATTGTGATGTGAGGTTTTTAATGGTGTTCAAATTATTAAGTTATAGCAGTTAGAGTGGATTCAATTGATTGCATTCCATTCCATGTTGCCGTAGGGCAAGTGAGCTTATGCCATGTTGCGGCGTCCGTCGTCCGTCCGTTCGTCGTCCGTCTGTCCGGCGTCAATTTTTTACTTTAAACAACCTCTTCTCAGTAACCAGAAGGCCTAGGATGATGATAGTTGGTCAGTAGCATTCTTGAATGAAGGGCTACAAAGTTTGTTAAAATGAATGACACTGACCTATATCCAAGGTCACAGGGGTCAAAACCTTTCAACAACTTCTTCTGAATATAACCAAAAGGCCTAGGGTGATGATACTTGGCCAGTAACATCCTGAGATGAAGGGCTACCAAGTTTGTTCAAATAAATGACCTCCATCCATTTGCAAGGTCACAGGGATCAAATATGTTGAAATCTTTAAACAACTTCTGAATAAACTTAAGGTCCAGGGTAATGATACTTGGCTAGAATCATGCTGGTATGAAAGGCTATTAAGTCTGTTCAACTTAATGTCTTTGTTTGACTTTCAAGGTTATAATGTGTCCCATGTTTAAATATTTTGATATATTCTTTTGAATCAAACACTGGTATTTTGCCTGAAGCTGTATTTTAGTCCACTTTTAAGATTGCAAGTGTAAGATTAATACCAGGTAAGCGATTCAGGCCCATTTTACCTCTTTTTGTTTTTGAATTTGAGGTGATAACATTATGTGCGTTGAAATCCCGATTATCCGGAATACGATTATCCGTAACTCTCGCTCTCCGGACAGCGACATTTTGGGATCGATTTATGCCGCAGTGCTATTCAGCAGGGCAACGCTTCACCGTTACGACATTTTTAGTTGAATTTTATCGAAAAAATCCGTTTATTCGTATTTCTTGGAAAAATACATGGATTTCCGACGCTCCGCTCCGGTATGTTATATATAGTGATATGAATACAAAAAAGGCTGAAACCTTATACGCTTAAATGGTACGGTACCATTCGGGTCAATTCCGTAGTAAAAATAAAGCGATGGATTTATAACCTATCAACCAGGAAGTAGGCAATGATTTGGACGTCCATCAGAAAAACTAAATAAATTATGGTTAAGTTCTCTCTTTTTCTCAGAAAGCCAGTCACTTCTGACGGTGGTATTGTTAAAATATAGGTTATGGGGATACGTAGAAGTGTGTTCTTTGATCGCATTCGACCTAAACTTCGGAAGGGAATACAGAAACAAACCCTGATAAATATATATATATATTACTACACTGCCGTGTAGAAAACTGATTAAAAATCGACCTGTGTCAATATTGAATGTGCGACACAAAACCAAACAGGAACACTACTCGATATCACTTGTACTGTGTATTTACTAGCAACTCGAGTGTCCATTGATCTTCTACGTGTTCTCAAAATTCTTGTGTTGCCGTACAAATTATGTATTCTTTCGTAGAAAGCATGACTCAGATTTGTTTTCGGCCAAACAGTTAGTTTCTAACTTCTTAAGAGCGATTAAAATTATCTAATATTTAGCGTAGAATGAGTTTTGTTTCAATGACACTGGCTGACTAAGACTCGTGAAGTTTACCTGTCGCTCCCCATTAAAGCGGTGGTCCACTGCTAACAGTGTGTGCTTACAATCGCAGTCTGTATGCGGCAGTGAAGTTGTATTGTGTACATATATATATATATGTTCATACATAAGTCGGTACGTTTAAATTCTAATGCAGTTCTAGTGTTATACAAAATGAAATGGTCATAAAAAAACTTCCGCACGCGGCCAGTGTATTGTTCAATGGGTAGGCGACCATCGTCACCGTAACGTCACCGACACTGCTCCTACTGGCATATTACAAGTCAGATACTCTTCATTACGATGTGGTAATGGAATTGAACTGTCCTATAAATGACTATTGTGATTAAACTGGGAACTAACCTAAAGAACAACGCTTCGACTATATAGATTTATGCAGCTACCAATATAATAGGTATTTCAATGTGTATTATTTTTTGTGAATGGATGAAATGTAAACGTCTAGAAGCATTTTTCACAGGTTCATGTTTCATACCTACGAAATGACATGAATGAAATGGATTGCAGTAATATGTATCGCTCGTTTGTATTCGTGATAAAGCGTTGAGGCGATGTTTGCAGTCTGCGCTTAACTTTATAACTGCATGGACGGAAAGTGCAAATAGGGAAGTCCAATCAATGAATCGCTCTGCCGTCGTCATCATTCCACTGGGGTAGCTTTGCTAACCGGAATGCCGGTGATCACAGTCGGATTACCTTGACTGATTCAAGCGGAGCTCTGATGCAGACGATATAGCGGTTAGCTATACAGACTAGGGCTACAAACTTGTAGGTGTTATACTCAGTTAGTATAATTAATATCTGAATGCGTTCAGGTTACTTTCCAAGAATTTGAGATCACTTCAACAGATATTAATTACACAAACCATCGGATTCTACGCACTGCAGAGCTCGTGGATGTGTTTCTAATTATTACCTTTCACCCCGCTGTAAAGGAAACTCTTAAAACATGAGCGAGTTGGGATTTGTTACCGTCGATTTCGTCGTCTTCGCTCTCGTCATATTATCGTCCATTCTGATAGGAACGTACTATGCGGTGTCCGGAGGCAAAAACAAAACATCTCTGGAATTTCATCTTGGAAATAGACAGATGAAGTTCCTGCCCATTCTTATTTCTCTGATGGTCTCGAACCAGTCCTCTATAATGATGCTGGGCTACCCGGTGGAGACTTACCTATTTGGCGGCGTCATTTGGCTTCCGGTCCTGGGATATATCTTCGTTTTCATGGCCTGTGTTCGCATCATCATTCCTTTATTTCATCCGATGAAGATCACAAGTGTTAACGAAGTAAGTAACATTTTTTGTTCTTTGTTTCTCTCTCGAAAATTATCGATATTATATATTTTTAGGTTCATTTTATATGATTTATGACTTACAAAGTGTTAATGAAATGATATTGATTTTTCACGTTGTTCATATGAATTACATTGTGATGCAGAGAATCAGGCTATCGAATCGTACAATGTTTAATACATGGTATCGGGGCATTAAAATAATTAGGTTGTCAGAAATGTAGCTGAGTCATATTCGGATTTGTTTGTCTATATATACACGATCTCATATGTTTTGTCAGTCTGTTGGTTGTCGTAATTTGCATCAATAAATGGTTTAAATTGTAACCGGATTATGTATGTCACTTTCATGATGAGTTCGTCAATAATTGATCACTGCTGGGTGATGTCAGGGGTAATATAATGGTCCGTTGCGGTAAAGTGAAACCATTTCCAGGTTATTAATTAAATTTCAGATTTTTAGACCAATCTATTAGCGGCTTGGATTAGTACTTAAATGTAATTATGGAATATTAAACCGACATGTCAAAAAGTATGTACACATTCTGAATATTAAAGTAATTGATTACATTTACGTTAATTGTATGGCATTATGGTTTCACAGAAGTGTTAGGCAGGGGTAACCACTCTGGTGCTACATTTAGTCTTCGGCTAGTCTGATAGTATGCAACACAGTTCCGTTCAAGCTATCCCCATATAGCCCATATTGGAAATTATATCTGCACAGAAATGTGTTGCATACATGATAACTGTTTAAAACGTTTCAATCATTATATTTACGTTCAAAATACCAAAATAATTGGTATTTTTTTTCGCTGAATGTTTGTCTTACTTTCGTTTTTTATTTGTTCATGATGCGTTTGTTTAACTTTAAACAAACCCTGTTACCAAATGATGGAACAGCTTTTTTTCGCGGGAAAAATGTCGTAAGGCGAGAAACGTCAATCGGAAACCGTTTGAAAATTACCGTCACTTATTGAAATTGACATCACGTCATGATTGGTCCCCGATCATTTCAACAATATATGACGGAAACACCCGAACAGTTTTCGATCAGAAAACTATCGGATTATAGCAGATTTGTCAATATATCTATGATAATATCCCACACGCTTCACGCTTCTACAATATCACTATAAAGATGTTTCATTCATAGGAATATAATTATTTTTTCTTTGTTTTAATGACAAATACTGGAATGTCATTGGCTGAACTTTTCTTACTATTTTACAACGAAAAGGGGCCCGTGACAATATATTAAATTGCTACTTTTTACTATAATAACAGCAACGGACTACGTTGCATTTATTGCATATTTTGTTACTGCTTGTAGAAAAAATCTACTGAACATTTATAACTATCCTCTGCGATAGCCAACGAAAATATAACGTTCGAACATCTTTAAGAAATCGCGTCGTTTCGTTTGTTTGCATATTCATTCCTTTTTCACGCCTGGGTGATAGGGGAGAATCGAGAGGGGCAAACGTTCTGATTTCGTACGAACCAGTTGTTATAGTGATGAAATAAAACCATAAAATTACGTCTATTCATGAACGTTTTCAAATTCGGGACAGGGAGGAAGGGTCTTGAGACAGACTCAATCTAACTCTCATTTAAGGAATAATTTCAATGTGGTATTGTTAACATTTACTGTTAAAGGGGAAGAACTCTATTTCCTGTAATACAAACAGAGGATAAGTTATACATGTACGAGAGATCAGGGGACAGCGTCACTTCCGGTATAATACATTATACATATGAGTCCATTTTTGATAACTCATCGGTCCAATCTGATCAATATCATCTGTTACATGACTCCACCTGAACATGATGTCCAGGCGTAGTACGAAGTCAACGAAGTCATGTAACTGATGATTTTGATCAGATTGCTCATCGGTCTAAGATAAAGGAGACAGTGCTAATCTCTGTTAAGATACGGAGTCTTAGAGAAGGACGATAACACTAATCCCTGTCGTATACACCGACTTTCAACTAAATCATTGGAAAAAGGAGACATCGCCACTACCTGTAGTATACAAAGAATGAAAACTAAAAGTTAAATACAAAAGGTGACATCGTTACTCCCTGTAGTAAACAAATAATGAAAACTAAGAGTTTAAGACGGAAGGAGACACCGTTACTCCCTGAAATATACAAATAATGAAAACTAAAAGTTGAAGACGGAAGGAGACACCGTTACTCCCTGTAGTATACAAATAATGAAAACTAAAAGTTGAAGACGGAAGGAGTCATCGTTACTCCCTGTAGTATACAAATAATGAAAACTAAGAGTTTAAGACAGAAGGAGACACCGTTACTCCCTGAAGTATACAAATAATGAAAACTAAAAGTTTAAGACAAAGGGAGACACCGTTACTCCCTGTAGTATACAAATAATGAAATCTTAAAGTTTAAGTTAAAGGGAGACACCGTTACTCCCTGTAGTATATAAATAATGAAAACTAAAAGTTTAAGACAGAAGGAGACACCGTTACTCCCTGTAGTATACAAATAAACACAGAGTAATGTTGGCGAATTTGTCATTATTGACCAAAGGCACAATACCTAATGTTCTCACTATGTTACACCTGTTTTATACAATGTGTTCACCCAACTCCTGTTCTAAACTAATCAGAATACGTAAACAACTGTTTGTTTATAACTTTTGTCATCACCTCGATGAGGAAGTCCGTTTACTAGAATTGGCGCTCTGGTGGCGTTCCTGATCATGTATTCTGTCTACTTCCAACCAACCGTTTTGTTTCCTAGAGCCTTGGTTGGCAATACCTCACTTTCCGACTTAGTGTTGCACGTTCTCCCACTAAGTGAGAGGGCAATGGGTTCGCTCCACAGGCTGGAGGATGTTTAAGTCCTTAAAATTGTAGTTGCGTAGTACTGTGTAGTTCCCTGCTTAACGTTCAGCATCTAGGGTAATAGTAAAAACTAGTTCACCCGTTATCAATATAATGTGACCGGGTGGAATGCTGTGCTGGGTGCCTTCGGCATGATATTTCAGTGAAGTAGAACTCTAAATTCGGCATCAGATCCGCGCTGTCGCAAGGAGGCAAATACACCAACATACCACCTCAAGCACACATACAGTATATGTCGATACATGCACGCATACATTACACACATGGAGGCAATCTCTGGCGACCTCAGCTGTTAATAGAACGTTAAACCCTATAAAACCAAATATATCTCTCATAAGTAAATGTTTCTGTATAATTATGGTAATCGTATCTTTTATCAAAAGTACCGTTTTTCAATGTTCTTTGCATTCTAGAACAGTTTATTTTTGTACAGTGCGTTCGTCCCGTCCTTCCGCCCCTGTATCATAGCTAGCGTAAACAATCGAACATTTCGTGTATAACTTGCTTCATCACCTATAAATGCGGAAATTCGTTTACCAGAATTGGCGGTCTGTTGGAGTTCCTGGTTTTGTGGGCGTAATAAGTATGTTAAATATAAATATATTGTATAGTGAGAGGGTTAATCATATCAGACCCTTTGTACTATTGGTAATACATCAAATATGATTTTTTAAACATTTGTTGAATGAAATCGGTAACCGTCCGATATTTATCTGTTGTCTGGATTATGTGTCCTGTAACACTATACTCCATTGTCAGATGGCCTAAACCTACATCTCATACTACTGCAAGGTCGACAAAAATAGTAAACAAACAAATATGAAAAAGAATGTTTTTTCTTAACAAAAATTAATCGTTAAGTCTACCCATTTGAAATGTTAAACTGTCGGTCTCAATTTCAAAATAATGCTTTTAAAAATCATTCTAAGCTGTTCGTAAAATCATGCCAGCATATTTGTTCCAGCTCTCGCATTAACGAAATCGCTTTCTCTTATTAAGAAGAAAAGTGCAGAAATATATGAAGGAGAGCGGTAACGTGACTCCCGATCGTTTATACTTCATAGATCTGATCACGAGGCCGTGACACGTTGGATGTCTTCATGCAGAAACTGTTTCGTTTAAAATTTACATTTAAGATATTTAAAAATCAGAATTATGAATGCATTTTCTCCCGGTGGACTATTTATACAATGCAAATCAGTTTTCGTGCAAATTTTTTATAACTCTGCTTACATAACATTGTTGTTTATATATTAAAGGTCGAAGGAGGGCAAGTTTTATAATTATGTAAATTAGACACGTGCAATATATATCAATTTGGCTCCATGTAAACGATATAATGACATTCATTCTGAAACGATGTGGGTTTCAAGACGTTATTTCACTGTGATAGTGACCATAATTCATCTTAGGACATGTAGGCGACTAGTTTAACACCATTCTGACATCTCATTACGGAATTAGACTCGAAATTGTTGACAAGAGCTTATACAATGGTTTGTTATGTTTTCTGCTGTCGGTAGCTACATGTAGAATTACAATCAAGTATGTACAGGGAGGCCTCGTTATGTAGTTCGTACACTTTAATTCATTGAAAGGTGTGTGTGGGCTTTACTTTCTGGATTCAAAATCGATCAATATCACTTTAGAATGAGTGCTACCTTACTGTGAAATGGAGACTAAAGGGTGTACCTTAATTTACTGTAATAAGGAAACTTACGTGTGTATGGTACCTTTCTGTGACACGGTGACCCAAGTATTATACATTTTAATTACTCCGACATGGAACCTTTCTGTGACATGGACACATAAAGATATATGATACCTTACTGTACATGGAGACTTCAGGCTGCCTGCTACTTAACTGTGACATTGAGCTTTAAGGGTGTATGCTACATTACTGGGCATTTAGACTTAAGGGTGTATGCTACCTTACTATGACAGGGAGACTTAAGGCTGTGTGCTAGATTTGTACCTTACTGTGACATGGAGATTTAATTATGTATGCTGCATTACTGTAACATGGAGACTTAAGGATGTTTGTTACCTGACTGTGACATGGAGACTTAAGGCTGTGTGCTAACTTCCAGGAATGGTATTGATGTTTAATTACTGATTACAA